CATTATTATATACTATTCAATCTAATGTTTTTACTTGAAGTGGAAAAACTTGCCATCGAAGCTACGGTACGGCTTTCATGTGATACACGAGAGTATTTGCTCTTACATGTGTTATCCTGCTGACAATGTCGGAGCTTGTTACCATAACGCTATAAAGATTCGATACCCGCGCTCCAACACGAGCCCCACTGTGCTTTTTCACAGATATACATACACGCACACACACACTCATGCTTAGGTATCAGCAAAAAACTTGTTTATCGTTCCTTTAGTAAGACATGCAAACTGGTCTTTTGATTGCTTATAGTAACTGGATAGGTTATACGTATGCGAGCCTGGTTACAGAGACGAAACCTACATCGAAGGCTATCCTATCTATGAGTTACCTGAAGGTATCTAGAGAATATGGTTATCGAAGAACTTTTGAATAAATACTCTTTTATTATACAGGATGATTTTGAAAATCGTTATTATCATGGATAAGAGAATGTATATAGTGCGCGTTTCTACTATGTTAGATGAATATTTTAAAGAACCTTTATTATAAAGCGCTACGTAATTTGTGGACCCAGTAAGACCTTCTAGACCATACAAGGATCGCAGAATGCGTTCTTACTATTTACCTAGCTGAAACATGTTCTGAAACATTCAATGTTTCCTTCAATGCAAGCAACATGACTCGTCTCTAATGGTCAGAAGGAAGTACTTGGAAAACAACAGCTAATTGGCAAGACTAAACCCACATTGGGAATACTCATCAATTACGATTGTAAATGCCACCAAATTTAATTTGTTCTTAGCCCGTTTTTGATGAACGGATTTTCTGTATGGTCTAGTGTCTCGCTATATAGGTATATGTATAACTTTTCTTTCATGTGTCTCTGTATCGGAAGATTAGTGTAGTTGATATCGAAGTAGATGGAGCAGCGCTTATATATCCTGTAATAATGTTAATATCCTGTAAAACTCAGCCTTCAAAAAGTATTTTGATACAAAAATGTTCTAATTTAGAATGCAAGTTCACATTGAATTCGTCCTATTAATTATATTTAGCATATATTTCCTAAAGCCGCCTTATGATATGGATGATCGCTGGCTAAGACGTTGCACGCTTCCATATTCACTCGATGTTTAACAGCGAGGCTACAAATTGGTTATCATCTGTCTGTGTCGTAATACAATAATAGCATGATACCACCCCTTGACGACAATAACAACGTACACTTTGGCGTCAGTCTCTCGCCAGTGCATCAGATTTAAGTGAGAGAACAATCCCATTAAATCCTATATTAGATAATTCGTTTGAAAAACTATTTTTTTTTGGTGACTCACCGATAGTCGGTGCCTTATTTACTTGGAACAGCATAGGACTCAGGTCCATTGTTCTTAGTCTGCAGTTATATCTTGTTTACATTCAATGTGAGCTTTAAGTTGCTTAAGTTAATTACCACAAGCTGACGGCTAAAGACGATAATCCTCTAATTCTTCGATAAGTGTGTGAAGTTCGTCAGAAAGCAAGTCTACCATTATATAGCGCGTGATATAATCTGTCGGACTGGGCGGAAACAAGTTGGCGAGCAGAAGTTTATTGAAATACCTTAGAGAAACGATTATGTAAATTAACATAAAATAAACTATAGCCGATTCAATGATCTACGAAATGAGCTCTATATATAATTTCCAGATATTCATAAAAAGCACTATAGCACGTAGATTTCCGCATAAAACCAAGTTGACTATTATTGAACGTTTTATCTAGGAACCAAGCACGACCCAGTGATAAAATTAAGCATCATAATGTGATAATTTTTCGTTACGCATCCAGCTTAAAGGAAACGATAGTAGTAACAGCTGTTTGTGATATAAAATGATTACAAGTTGATCGAAGTGGACGCGTTATCATGATTCGGATAACTTAAACTTAGTCTTTGATGTCGGATATTACTATGATCAGAGGAAAAACAAGCGTTGACAGATCGCTAGCACATATAATAGTCGAGATAGCTTGCTCTTCTAGGGAGTTAAATCGGAACACAAAAACATTATGAATCCACTGATGGACATCAAAGTGACACCTGAAACGGTATCATTGTTCCTCCATGATGTATTTACCGTTTTTAATCGACTAAAAATTTTGATAGAATTATTAACGCGTCGTACAGGCGACAAGAGTGGCATCAAACGCAGGCGCAAACTAACCGATCATTACACAAAATGAAAAAGGCTAAGCTTTTCTTTTCAGATCAAGCAGATGCACCATCTACAAGGAGATGGACGACTAGAGGCAAAGAGTGAACAGAACGGATATGGTAACTAAAATGTTGTTGGCAGTAGCTATACGTGCCCACCTTTTTAGCGAATCTATGTTGCAATCGCGGAGCAACGAAAACATGCGTCTGTCAGCTCAAGATGTTATATATGCCGTATACTATGTATAAACCCGATAATAAATAACTCAGCTGACAGATATGTCAGTAGAGAACAGACCGCTATAGGTCAGGAACTTTTGCCGTTTTTTTTTTTTTTTTTAATAAATCTGCACCTAATAAAAATCAGATCAATGTGACTCAGAACTGAGAAAAGAATATCGCTCATCATCTCTTATTCCGCCGTCCTCCATCGATCAGGCTATAAAAAGCAGTTGCATGAGCAGATCCGGCAAATCAGGGCTTCAATGTACCCTATGTTAATATCGAAATGTAATAGATAGGTATACGTTTTACTGTGTATAGTCAATGCAAGTATCAAGATGGTTCGATACTGATGGGTGACAGCGGCAGTGAACGCAAGATTCCAATCGTGAGCACCTAATTACATAGATATCTGCATGTGTATCTGCATGTACTGCTTCATTCTTTTTCTTTCCTGTCTCAGAGTAAAAGAAAACGAAGCCAGGGACCGATCCGCAAACTTGCAGGTTGGACAGAGTTCGTTTTCGTCTTGAACGGTCACCCGCGGGTGATCGTCATATTCACTCGGACAAATGCAGGGCTTCATTCGGAATGACACGTAGAACTAGTGACTACCTTAGGCCACTTAGTTCAGCCTAACCTGCCCTGCAGTAAGATGAAAGAAATCAGCCAATCAGACAATGTCAGCCTGGTCGTTGATTGTTTGAGCCGGATGGTTGATACTGTTCCTGGTGAGCCGTTACCGACTTGTTACTGCTCTCATCACAGTCCCAGTGAACCCTCATCTTGGACATGATCACAAAGTCTGCCTTGCCTGATCTTGGTCTTGTCTTTTAGTTATGAGCAGCCGTTAGTCCATAAGGACGCATCGAAATTTTGGCAAATGGTACCTAGGGTCAAACTACGCAAAACGCCACGAAAAACAGGACATGAAACATCTATTGTTGTTATTCTGGCCATCTGTATTGTAGGATTTGCCTCGATAGGTTTCATCGACAAAAGTAACCCTACGGCGATTGGCAAGAAGCTCGAAAAACTTAGCTAACTTGCAGGCAAAGTAAGGCGAAATATAGCACGAACTGGACGAATAGGTTACGCGATCGTTACGGTACGGAGCAGTGTGCACGCTGATCCAACTGCTTCCAATGGACGTGCACTCTACGATGCTTTTCGAAGCTCTAGGAGTATGCTTTGGGCCATGTAGAAAATCATGTGTATCCCACAGCGCCGAGAATATTTTCTGGCCCGAGATACCGTACGCGAAGTGACTGGTGGAATTAATGTGGAACTATATAGAACCATCGTTCATAAATCTCTGCAAAGACATTTGGCTGGCACTGTTTCGTAAGAACAAATTGGGCCCTCTAGTTTAGGCCAGCAGGAGAACGAAAACAAACAGAAAAGCGTACTTATGGTTTTCGTTTTACAGGATGTTATTAAATATTTGTGGCTGTAAAATATTTCTTGCTAGTAATTATAGTACACTATCTGAACGCGTCGAAAATTTCAACAAAGATAAGCACTTCATTGTATGTATTATGTTAAAGGTTTAATAATGCCTGTTATTACGTTTTCTGCGTGCCGTTGCTATTCAAACGTACGTTGTTCGCAGTAATTTACATGTAAGTTGAGTGTTAAGAAGTCGAGAACCCTTTAAAAACGTGTTGGAGAACCTTTAAAATCGCTATGCCACTATTAAGATCTATCCAAAAAATTTGGAAGACCATGAAAACATGTGAAGCGGTACCATCTAAAACAATGTGTCCAGCATGCCCTACTAGAACCTAGGAAAGGACGAAAGACAATGGATGCTTCCTATTCGAGTTCTAACACGCTTCACCGAGTTTTCCACTTTTGATAAGTATATGGTGCAGCGAAGTCTGCGCAGCGGTATACAAAAGACTAGTCACGAAAGAGGAAAAGATAGCTGAAAATTCCTGGGAACTAAATATAGGACGTGGCTGTACATCAAAAGGCGCTGAGAGTTTGTCTGCTCGCAAACTTGATTACCTAAAACGTGAATTGGAAATATTCGTTCCCGTGTCCGGATACGACGAAGCCGTTGCTTCGATGCGACACTTTTCAATAAAACCCGCTTCGAAGAAACGAATTCTGATACCTTCTTCTTCGCGAATTAGTTCAAAGAAATTACCTATATCATTGATGCAGAACTTCCGCACGTTATTTTTTTTTGCTCCAAAGCCTTTTTTTTTTGTTCCACCAGAAGAAAGACGAGACTAATCTTAAGTCTCTCGATTAGAAAATTTTCGCCGGCATAATTGAACACATGCTAGACAATGGCTAACAGTTCATAGAAGGAATTCTTATGTAATTTTTAATTAGCCGCGATTCATATTTATAGTGAGGTGATGTATTCTTTGAGTGTGAATACTGGACTGGTAGTAAGTGGAGTATCGAATGGAATATTTGATTAAAAAAAAAAAAGCGTGCACAAGGAAGACTTAACGCTCGTGAATTACTATTAAGCTAAGATGTAGTAGGGTGTGAATTTCCGATAAATCGCTAAGCAGCACAGAAAGCACGAAAACCTATAGCCTTAGTCCTGTTGGGAGAATAACAACAACTCTATATACTTTGAGTGCCTGCAGCCCAGATGGGATAGTGGTTAAACTTTTATAGCATAGGGTTCGCCACAAATATTGTCAGAAAACGAAATTAACCGTGGTCGCCATAAGCTATCGGCTTCTGCGAAGCGATTCGATATGGACACTTCCCTTTTATGGCGACTTGGAAACCGAGTTGTCGCTACCGTCCGTAGTATCGCGCGATCGACGATAAAGCGTGTGCCTTTATATAATAGTTCATGAAGAGAGTCAGGAAAGATGAAAAGATAGAAGTAAGTTACTTGTATAGATTTCAAACTTCGTATTATTGCGAAACTATATTAGGTATTCATGAAATTTATCCATCTGAAAAGCTACTCAATGTAACAAAGAGATACGTTATGCTCGAAAGACGATTTGAGCATTTTTAATGCCCCAACTCCATATTCTCAATGCTGTCCTAGAGTTTCTTTTGTTATATCCCTCTGAACATTGTCAATGGTATAAATAAGGTCATAAATTAGTTGAAGGCGAGACATAAACGTAGAGAATATTGCTATCTACCCTTTAAATGACTAATTGTGTAGTTTTAATTAGGACTGATAGGCATGACAAGTGTATGCCTATCAGTCCTAATTAAAAATTTTACCTTTTTCCACACTCTCCGTAAGTTTTCCGACTCCGGGCGGTTTTATTGATTGGAATTTCATTCGGCCGGTGAATTGGCCATACCACAAGATACCATGAATCGTCTAACATCAAAAATCAATTTAAAAAAAAATTTTTCTTTATCAAAAAACTATTTTTTAGGTAATTCGCTGAACAGATGCGTCTGACTCTGTCCAACAGTGAAAATTTAGAAGAAATTTAGAAGAATGACAATAAACTTACCCAGTCAAAAAGTCGCATGTAGGTACACCAGTATATTGTTAGAAATATATAGCATTATATATCAGTTTCTGAAGGGGTGTATGCCCAGTTAGGTTAACTAAGCAGCCGTTAGTATACCGCTACGAAAAAATTGACTGTGGGAGAGAAAGGTATCATGCATTAATTGTGCACGTTCCTGCGCCGCTATGGGGGCCACAGCTTTGAACTTCTGTTCGTCGTGATGATAACCAGAATATGCACGCCCCTGTCAAGTACGCCTGCTTTCAGGCACACAAGTCGCAACATTGCGGTAGCGCGCATAGGACGCATTGTCTAATTGGAAAAGGAGCAAATGGAATTGATAGAAGGTAGTTGTTTGTCATATGTACTTTTGCCGTATAGATAGGGGCTATGTTGCTTAGCTTGTATGGTGTGCGTTAATTCGTCTGTGTTCAAACCTATACCAGGACAACCGGGTACTTGATTAATTTAAGTCTCAATATTTGGTCATCATAGATAACTGGTAATATACGAAGACGTGTTAAACTGAAAATACAATGCCTATATAACGAGAGACGTTAATCACGTTAATTTTTTTACACATTTTTTACAAACTTTTTCTAGGTGTATCGAAAGTCCATTCTGCAAGCGAAGCTAGCGGACATTACGCCGCAAGTACAATACTATGACCGCAGTACACACGTATGGTGTACATATATATGAGCGGAGAATCCAGCGGACTACGTGCCGCTAGGAGACGAAATTTAGCGAGTAAATACTCAAAGTTCTTTAGAGACCTGCGAGCGAGAAACAACTGAGTTTCATTTAGAGAAAATATGTTCGGAAGGATAAATATATTTTACTCACAAAAATTAACTGTCAGTGGTCAAGTTTTTGTTTTTCGAAGCCCGGCACGTAAAAATAAATAAATAAATAAAAAAAAAAAAAGAACAGAGATTGGAGAATTAAGCACTAGCGAGGACCCGGAGGGGACAAGGATGCATTGCCGCAATTGCATAGGCTGTTCGCGAAAGCAGAGCGTGGAGTCCAAGGGTTTTGTTGGCCAGAACAGGCGTTTCATATGTAACGTGTTACAAAATTATGATTCAAACAATGAGAAATGAGTAAAATGCATTTCCCTTGAATTGACTCTACGCCAGTTGAAAATGCGTGCAGTAACTTCCATGTGCAACTTGTGGAAAAGCCTAAAGCTTAGGGTCGCAACAGACGAGGCGTGGTTCATCTCTTCCCTCAGACGAAGAAGGATTAGGCAAGTGAATGACGCCGCTCTGGAAAGAAATCGAGTTCGATGGCAATGTGGAGTAGGTTTGGTAGTACTTGCAAAGGGGTATCGGAAGCATTCGCTGCTATGAAATTCTCGCAGAAAACGGAACAATGAATACAGCTCACTATCTAGAGCCAAAGAGTCATGGAACGTGTGTACGGATTGTTGACAATCAAAAACACACGGTCTTGTTGCCTTACGACAACGTCAGACCTCACCGTCATGCCTCTATTACTTCTATGTAGATCTAGCAAGGATATTAGTCTCAGCCCACCTATTCTCCCGATCTAAGTTCGTATTATTACGGCGTCTTTCCATGCCCTGCAAAAGAACACTGGTGGGCAAGCATATTCCACTGCAGCATATCGAACTATCCCATCAAGGATGAGGTGTGCTGTACCAGATACTCCGAAATGACGAGAAATTGGGCTTTCCACCGATGCCCCTTCCTGGCGAAGCCTTTTTAGCTGTCGCTTTCAACATATCTAGATTGTATAATAACTTTGCGCAAGTGAAAGTGCCAATCATCACCTCAACATCAAACCGTCTAGAAGGCAAACATTTTATATAGATAACACAGCGAGCTCTATGATATACTCATTGTCATACTACTGCCATGACGGCTAGAGGCAGCACAGTTCATTTACAGGCAGCCTAAGTTATCGATAAATAACGATAATAATAATAAAAATCGCGAGCGGCACCTATTCGGAGAGGAAGCAAATGAGAGGACGAACGTTCTTTTTTCAGCAGTTCTAATTCCATTCTAGTTCTGGTTTCTGTCGTGTAGCGCAGAGAATTTTACTGGTAAAATTTGCTGACTGTAGTTAGGTCGAATCCTGTTGTATGTACTATCAGAGAACAGAATGATAGTTAGCGGTGATCTTTTTTGCGGTTAGCTCGCTGGTCGGTTGGTCGACTAACGAATCGCCTTGGTCATGGCAACCTCATCACGTCTTCTCTTGCCTTCCAGTTAGCCGATTTTACAATGAATCGGCCGTACTGTTGCGGCTGTTGTTCTGTTGGACATCAGTTCAGATTCGCTGTCTGCAGTGCCCTCGTGTGTCCTGCTTCGAGCCATGTTCGCTGTGGTAATAAAAACGTTCAATGTAACTGCACACTTTAGCAGTTAGCCTAAATCACTGAATTCATCGTCGAGAGACGCTTATCTAAGACAGTCAGATAGCGCGTTCACACCATATAACCCGTGGTCGAACTCGTAAGCCTACATGTGTTGGGAGCGCCCACAAAAATAGCAGCGACTTTATCAACTTGCGATATTAGCTGAAGCTGCGGGCAACAGCGATAACAATGATGGAAACCGCCGTGGAAGCTATCGTGGATCGAGCAGCGCAAACAGACGGCATACAATTAGATTTTTGTTACATGTGTAATATAATGAGACATGTAAAATCTAATTGTCTAAGCGTCGGAATTTACACTTCTGTTATGTCTAAAAATTAATTCCCGAAGAACACGCTCCGTTTACTGCATCTGAGGTAGCCCAGAATCAAGCCCGAACGATACCGACAATGTTTAAGTCGATGCATATAGGAATGAAACCCCCAGCATCTATCCGTGACTTTGTTCAAGAATTAGCATGTAAACCATGTAATCCCCATAGACAGCAGAACTTTACATATGTCCCTAAGTTTTTATATAAAACAGGTACAGGAATGATTGGCAAAGCGCGAAATGGATGGTTTCCCTACGATCAAGCAGTAACTCCTATGAACGGTCCTATTATCACATGGTCTGAGTATCAAATGCCAGGAGACAAAGCTAAAATGTGGTCCTATCGTTATAAGATAATTATTAAAGCAGTAGTTGCCTATAAACGATTTACTTCGTATGGTTCTGAATTACAATCTCTTGTACCTATAATTCATCCGACACATGATCGGGCAATTGGAGGAATATTAGAAAAAATAAAACAGTAAATTTAATTGAATCCGAATTGTTTCTTTATTTCATCGCATGTATCAGTATATTCAAAATGTTTATAACTCTTATATTCATTTTTATTAGCTGGGTCTGGTAAATGAATAATTATATCAATACGACGACGTAGGGCGGTCCAGTTGTATCCCTTAAAATGGTACCATTCTTCGGGATGGGCGTTAGAGGTGATAAAGATCCATTCAGCAATGAAATTCGCAAAACTCCCTTTTATTGGAACTTTATAGGGATACCGATCAGCTATTTTCAAAAGCTCGTCATATTTGAGCCATCCGTAAAAGTCGTCCATTATGACAGCTTTGTAATACTTTGACGTAATCCTGATAAAGATCTCTATATTAACCACAGAAATCTCTCGGGGTAATACTATGCCCGAGAGACTTCGTGCGACCAAACAACTAAAATGGCCGACCCTCAACTCCGATTCAGACGTGCAGCTTGGACTTTAAATAATTACACAGACGATGAAGTTAAAAACCTCAAGATAAATGTAACCCTGTTTAGATATATAATATGGGGTTACGAAGTAGCACCTAACACTGGAACCAAACACCTACAAGGATATTGTGCATTAGAAAAACCTGCTACTATTGAAAGATTTAAAGTTCTTATTTCGGAACGTGCCCATGTTGAATTTGCTAAAGCTTCGGAAGAGAAGAACCGTGCATACTGTATTAAATCAGGCCATTTTGAGGAGTATGGTCGCATAAATTCTCAAGGGCAGAGAAATGATTTGTATAACGTTGTTGATACTTTATTAGACAATAAGGATGATTAAGTTGTTCGGTACGAGACTTAATAGGAAGTAAGGCTTTTACTCCTTAACGTAGGTCTACTCTTGTCTCTGCTGGTTGTCTGCAGAATACATGTTAGAATATTGGGACACGTTCTATTCTCCAAACAAAATGTGAACAAAGGCTGCTGCGTATGGTCACTAGCCGCGGTAGGCAAACAACAATGGGGTAACGCTATGCAATGGAACAGTATCCGCTGTTCGCAATCGCTTAACCTGCGGTGGTGTAGACGAACTGGCTTGTACCGGCAGGCAGGACGTTGCAAACAGGTCGCCAACAAACGCGGCAAATATCATGGTGCTCTCCAGAGATCATCCTGCGCGGCTACGCTCGCAGAGCCGCGTGTGCGGGTTCGTCGTTGTCGGACCTGACTACACATCTGTATCAGACTGTCACCACAGGCAGCAGTTGTTGGATCAGGGCCAGGTTGTTTGTTGGCAGAAAATTATAAACGCTGGACGGGTAGAGAAGTGGGCAGAAAGCACTTATGGAAGTGGAAATCGGTAGCAATAGTTTTGCTTCCGCTGATGCCAGAGAAGAGAAAGACAGCTGGATCAGCCTGAAACATGATGAGCCTACGCGGGGGCCGAATGATCCAAAACTAATGGCACAATTGCCGGAACAAGAGTCCGTTACCCGACGGGTAGCCGGTCCGCGCGGAGATCCCTTAGAATAGTTGACTCATTTATCAGCTGAAAAAGTGAATACTCAGATGAAGACCTTCACAGGAAAAAAGGCAAGGCATTATATAGTATTATCATCCTGTGCTGTCCGACACGATTTTCTGTAATATGTACGTGGACAAATTATTATCGCCGTAAAAATCGCCCAATATTATTAATAATAAGAAGAAGAAGAAGCAGCAGGCGACAATGGCTGCGAAAAGGCGCCGTGATGTGTTCCGAAACGAAGCTGTCGTCACTTGAGCTTTATTTATAATGGGCTATTCTTCAACGAAGCTACTTTTTGTAATAGTACTAGCGGGTGTCAGGTTATAGTGAGCCAATGGTATAGACAAGTTACCTGCCGTCGTTTCGAAGGAATACCTATCGCGCGAATGAATTGAAGTTCACTACATAATGGCTACGATGGTGGTACATCGAAATGGTACGTTAAATAGTACATTCGATATAAGCATTACCCGTTCGTCACTATCGGTAAAAAATTTACTCTACCTTTAATACCTACGAGGCCTTCCATAATTATTTCGTGCCCTTGTCCACAGACAATCTGCTCATTGCGTAACGTCGGGGCAACGACCTTTAACTAAATATATTTAAGTATCAATGTATACCTGTGCCAGCTACCTTGCTAAACCTGATGAGATCTGCCAACTTACTTTACCTTCTTATTTCTTCCATGCTTGAAAATGGCGGGAAATAAGGCCTGTATCTGGTTTAAGCGGACAGTTTTTCGGGTTAGGCAAACCTACATGGTATAAAAACAGGCGCAGCCATATTAGGTTTACCTAAATGAATGCTATCAGATGAATTGAATAGGTTAACTAAAAATTGAATAGCCGCACTTTAACGTTGTTACCCTATCTCTCGGTGTCTTCAAAACAGGGACACAGCTATACAAAATATAGATATCATTCATTCCAAATTGAACTTGGTATGTTACTTGGATGGAAAGCTTGCGGGGCGTTTTTAGTGATGATAATGTTGTTTAGCATCGTTAGTTGAAAGAGTACTACTAGCGTTTCAAGACATCTTTTTCGCGTAGAAAGGTGAACACATAGCCTTGTGTTAGGACAAAAATCTCAGACAGGACTAGGATTTGCAGACAACCTGAAGGGTGCGTCCTTTGACGTTAGGAGCGTCGTTTTCCAGTATAGAAAAGTCTGCGAAAATCAACTACATTGTTTAGCTTATACAATCCTTAGCTCAATTTTCGTACGACTGCCCCTTACGTCCAATATTTCTAATGGATTATTTCAATAAACGATAATCCAACAAACCTAGTGCGGTCAAACGGGCACCCAAACTGTTAAACCTGCAATTCATTAATGCTATCCCCGTTAGTGGAATTTTAGAAAAGATTATTATATAACGGTACGCATATAAAGTATAACGAAATATTGTTAGATATAATAAACATTTACGAAAACAGTGAAAAATGTAAAATTTTTAAGAGCTGAAGCCGTTCACAGGAGCGGTATTTGTAGAAGTTTAGTTTCTATAGGCTGATTATAGGCTTGTAGTAACATGGGCACACAATTAAAGTTATGTTTGCTGTGATAAAATCTTCGGAAAATTTCCCACCTATAATCAATAGTCTACTTTTTGTTAGCCCAGATTTCTAATCTGCCATCAACCATAACGATATCTTCCTATCATTTTGATGACAACGAAACCGCATCACTGTATGCAACTAGTTAACGACAAAGGTGAAAATTAAGCACTCAGCTGAGTAACTACTAATCACAGAAATATTGTTCAACTCCAGTATGGTTTATATAAGGACTTTCACTCTATAAGATTACTAATTCAACCTCAATCAGTCTACGGAAAGAATGGAAAAGAACACACGTGACGCTTCTACAGCGTCACGTGTGTTCTTTTCCATATGCATCATTGCCTTGTATGCAGTAGATCCGCCGGATAATATTTCAGGTTAGAGCGCCGCTAGTTCCCACCGTGTTGGTGTGGACACGTTCGATATGATCCTCGATTGTTTTTGGCGCAAGACAAGGAAGATCGAACACTAAATATTGGATGACTTGACAGAAACTTTTTTTTTTTTTTACTAATCTTACACATTTATTGAAATGAGCTATACTCGAGCTATAACGCTGTACGCAACGCGGTCCCTTGACGGAGATGACTTGACGGCCCTTCTCGTAGAAAGATGCTTAATGGTGAATATTAAACTAACGGCCCGAATTTTAGATGTGACCCGGTTCTGTAGTTAGAAGTTTCTCTTAGTATGTAATCAGTATGTACTGTAGCCTATAGGTTTTAGTAATGGACAAAAGTATCGATTTTGAAAATCGCAGCGCAGATCGTGCTACAGGAGTCGAAGGAAAAATATCGCATTTTTTACGGTACTTTAATTCGCGACAAAAGTCTTTATTATCGAAAAATGCCAACAACTGTAAACCATAAAATTGAAAATATCTGGTTAGCTACGCATAGACGGTAGCTGACATTTGCGCCATCGTGCTCCGAGCTTTCATATATGTGTTGGCTGTTTTCTTCAAGGTCATGTCGAGTGAGCACCGTCAATTCTGAGAGGTCGAAGGGTATGCGCTCCTTCAGTGAACATTGAAAATAAGATTATCCATATAATCATTAACCCTGATATGGTCGCTCCTATTGTGATTAGCTTTGTCGATCTTGACTACTTAGAAATGGCGTGCCTGACTCAGCGGTAATTCTGGAACGGTAGGCTCCAAGTTGAGCAAGTCAATCATAAGGGTGGAAATTCTCTACATATATGACAACAAACATTTCGTTATAGATAAAATGATCGCATTAATTGCTCTTAACTTAGATGATATACACATAATGTTTGTCAACGAAAACAACGTTCATTTTGATTGAGGAAGGGGTATTAGGCATAGCGTGAATATGGGCTAAATGCCATATCACTTCAGTGTGTAGAAGGGCACGAGATTTATGGTTCAAGTCGCTTAAGGGGACGACTGGATTAGATATTGTTTATTTTCGTGTCAGCTGGGGGACCTTAACGCACATAGTACGGGGGGACACATTCATTTACGTTTTACCCTGTCCATAGTAGACATAAACAAAAGTATTACGAGAATCTAGAGTGGTCCAGTTGTATACAACCTCTATTTTCGTTCCCATTAAGTTCTCATTGGGGTGTGATGAATAAATGACAGTCGCACGTAATTTTGCTGAAAGTCATCTCAGACGTTTGCTTTTTCTATCACAAAAGTAACTTTGTATTCCCAGACATTCTTATCGAAGTTTTCGTATTGTGAAACATCTACCTAGTAAACAAAGAATACGGCTAGAGTGGAATATCGTTCTTCTTTGTTTGATAGCACTGCATAGCACCTGCAGCGTCGCTATGATCCGCATGGCAGGATTTGGAAAGCTTGGCTCCTTCGTAGACCCTGATCCTATACAGCCTCACAAGATTCAATGTTTAGGTCAAAAGGTAAGTTGGGTTTCTTCTACGTTCGGTACTTTAGCTATTCGATATCGCCTCGTACGGGTCATGCTGAACCTATTTGGGTTTTCTTCCAACAAATTTATGAAATGGCATGTCAGGTATATGCCATAGTAACTACTTGCCAACGCTAAAATTCGAATTAACGATCAGAGCACGTTCATGGTTGACGTCGCCTCCTTTTATAAGTCAGTTCAGCAGTATCTAGTTTTGAACAACGTCCCGACGTTCCTACACTGAATGTTAGGTTACGAATTGTCCTTCACGGTGCTAACTATCAAAGAGGACAATTTCTATAGAGAAGCTTCGCGTATTCGGTACACATCGCACATGCTTGAGTTAATGATATAGAGTTGATATTGAGAGGGTTGCTCGAGTAAAGCTCGAACTTCAGCCTCATTGTGCGTATGCGTATACGATTCGAGGACAACTCTAAGTTCTTTTTAAGACCTGAAACCAAATCATTGACATTTGCCGCAGCGAATGAGGTGGGTTTTTACAAGCCCCAAAAAACTGTAGCTTACGTAACGTCATGTCCTGTCTAAAATTATCATTAAAAATCCCTTATATGACAAACGAAGCTGAACCTACCTCGGGCTGCCGTGCCTATTAGACACCATGTTAGAAAATAAACTCACTCCAGCGAATTCGTCGTGTTAATAACAATGAGACATGAGTAATCAAAGTGGATCGCCAAGTACACAATTCCCGTAAACAGCTAGGTATGGGCAAGCTTCTTATAGTATCCGACAGGTAATACTTATTATCAGTAACACGTTGCTGTTCTGTTAACAACAAAATATCACCAGAATTGGCTGCCTTCGAACGTATGCGTGATGCAAAAGAAAGATGTTTTTAACGGTACGATCATAAACACATCTGACAGCCGATTTTTAGACTATATAATTCTGTCAGTTATGATGCTGTTCAGAAGATCATATTCGACACAAGTTAAGGTGAGTGCACAATTGATAACAACATGTAACGTTCTTGCGCCAAGTTCCAGGTCAAGCACAGCTGGTGGTAAATGAAGTAGTTCACACCGAGTTGTGCCGCGCTTATTATGCGTTCGCGAAGGCGTATTTACATAATGAGCAAACGCGCATGACGGACCAAATAAGGTACATTGGCGGTAGTTGGGCCTATATGGCCAAAGAGTGCCAAACTCTGTTTTAATCTCAATTTGAGATGAAGGCTTTTGTTTGTTGTTGTCGTCGTCTGCTGTACTACACGCAGTCTAATGGTCAAGGGATCCACTTCTAAGAGCTCATTGGGTGTAAGGAACGCAATTACTTATTATTGCCTCTAACAATATTAAAAGCCTACATCACGTGACGCAGTTTATTCCGCTTGTTAGGTTCCGACCAGATACTGGGCCTCTTTGAGCGCTTATTGGATATTTTTGCTAAGCGCTAATACCTTTGACTACAATGAAAGTGCTCGGCGTAATTAGGTGTTCAATCTGAAAGGTGTGAAAGCGATCTCTAACTATAATTCGATGCAACAAATGCTCAAAGCAAAAAGAGCCGAGCCTTTTTAGGGGACCTTTTAGATTCTAGTGCAAACGATGCGAGACACATCCGGCTATATTTTTCTGCGTCCCAATTTGACAGCGGTGAACAGGGTTGGTATTCTTGCGTACGCCAAACCTAATGCTACTTGTAGCGTCCCGGCTCCGAACGCTTTTTCGCAGGGCGTCTCACACAAGGCTCATTTTCGAGTTTAACAAGTTTTCCTATTTTGTAAATCAACGACTCACATTGTTTCCGGTCGTAAATCTTTCGCCGAATACAACGTTTGATGGCAGGCTGTCTGCTATGGTTCATATTTTTACGGTATTTTATATCAAGTCGTGTGGTCGCGCTGACATGTGGCTACCGCATCCGTGAATTACAGTTTATTCCTCTTCTGTTCGTATGTGGATCATTAAGAAAACGCTTCTTTACTAATTTATCAAACATGTAGAATGGATCAATCCTAATACTGTTTACGATGTTGTCTAACAGAAATATTAATATTTCTGTTAGACCTCATGTTTATCTTATTATATTATATTATAATCTCATCTTAGCATCTCCTTGTCCATTTCAGACCGCTTCTCCTGTTGGCGAAGTCGAAACGACTTCAGCGGGGCCGGCCTTCACTCTGTCCAGTGGCTCGTTGTTGCAAGCATCCTAGTGACGCAATCGGCGTCGTCGATGACTGTCTCGCCAGCATTCGTAGCGTCATCCTCACCAGACGGCGGTCAGATACTGCCAGTGCAACTTTCACAAATGAACTGCTCAGCGGCAATCGCCACCTGCCTGAAGAAGTCGCAGAATTGCCAACTTGTACATCACGCTTATACCCTTGGCTGCTCGAAAGAACTGCAGGGAAGGTTCGCGTCGTCCGCAAGGGTGCTTGCTTGTCCACTGTTTGGTGCTTCACTTATTCTTACATATTTTACATACATTTGTAAGCCAGTTACATATTCGCCCTTTATTAAACAATATACTTAATTTACTTAATCGTTAAACGCAAAAGGTCTTGTCCGCGACTATATGGAAATATATATGCTAACAACGCGTAAGATTACCATCTTACGCGTTGTTAGCCGATCTGTAAATACAAAACCTGCTTTCGTCTTCCTACATTGTTTGAGTCGCGGACTTGACCCCTACGATTTTTTAAATATATTCGAATTTTGTAAACAGTGAATATATAATAAAATCCAAAAGAGTATCTAGTGGTAAGGAAGCGTGTTCGCTAGCAACAGTCCAGCTGCTATAGAATAAGAATGATAACCCCCTACTGAACGACAACGCTAGTGAAGAACGACAATTGAATTAGGAGTCAAAATGATCTCATTGGGCAGTCTACTACTGTGACGTTCCGTAGCTGTTGCACACAGTGCGGACAACATCTCCCGGTGGCGTGGTAAATACTTAAGCCATTGGTTAAGAAAATCGTCGCTAAAATCAGACCAGGGAAACCATTAACCGAATGAGTTGTTCTTAGTTGGTTTGTTCTAGGAAGAGCGAACTTTGGTTTTACGAGTACCGATGCACACATCGTTCGTCGTTATATATATATAGATTATATATATATAGATATATATATATATATATATATAGATGCATTATATATATATAGATATATGACCAAAAATATAGATTCTTTTACAATAGAAACTTTTCATCAAGAGAAAACTTGAGATGGAAAGTTGTCGGGTCCAATTTTTTAGTCGGTTAAACCTGCTTGCATTTGGAGTATATGCAACAATGTTTTTTGTACTTTTTCTTCCTACCAACGACATATGTATGTATATACTTTCAACGGCCGCTCGAGTAGGAATAATAGTGGCAGCTAACGGTTGTCTCGTGCTTGACCCTCGGACAGTGGCGCCTCACAGTTTCCGACTGCTGAGACTGCGAAGACTCCATTAAGGGACCTATGGGTTCTAGCTCGTGAGTACGCATCCTTCCCATGGGTCCCTCCGATTCGGCCTTGGTAGCATGTTTTCTCTTTCCTAACAGATCACTCCTTTCCATTTCAGACCTTTCTAAGAACCCAGTGTCTGAAGTTGTGTCGATCGTTTTATTGTCTCAGCTTCTCCCAGGAACTCAGTTCTTAAAGCCGTTTTTCTCATCTTTCAAGCTTTCGGAGTACTTTGATGTTGGTCTGGAAATAATGAAGAGCCCTGATTAAAAATTGAAGTGAGGAAAACGATGCTTTCAAACAACTCATAGGCCCGTAGTAAGAGGTCAATTTTTTAAAGTCACTTCGAACAATAAGCTGCATTGACAGGATTTAATCATTTCAGGGCTGAATCTTGTCAAACTGAATCAGAATCGTGTTAGATACGACGCAGGTTTCGTTGCTTCAGTCACAACCGGAGTAATCCTTATTCAGGATACTTGGGCAAATTATTTATTATGGAAGTACCTCTGTCAGCTATTACATGATATAGATAGTAGAGATTTTTTTTACAACAAATATTATAATCAGTAAACTACTTACAAAACACGAGTTCAAAGTGTCATTATCATAAAATCATACATCTTCACAATAAACACTAATCTGTGTAGTTTAGGGCTACTTGCCTGACACATTAAAGAGATTAGACTCTCGGCCTGACGATAGAGTATAGCGACTTTCAAGAAAAAGTTGCCAGCATGTTGAGAAGCAATGCCGTCGAAAGCAATTTTCGGCTAACGCTAATTAGGGTACCAGCCTCGCGTTGTGTTCGCACTGCCTAATTGTGAGGTGAATGGGTATTAACTGTGGATTCTCGTTGGAACGTTACTCTTCCTTTCGCAATAACAGCTCATCAAATGACGAGTTTTCGCTTAGTGTGCTTACGGCAGGTTAAAAGGTCGACTGGTTCATGTCTGTGAAAGGCATGCTTTGTCACTTTGGGGCGCGAGAGGTACGCCTGGTGCTTCTGCAGCGGGGCGAACCGTTGGTATTTTCAAGGTTACATAAAGCTCGTCAGCGTGCTTCTCATACTATTCGCGACCTTAAAGCGCAGTATTATACGGAGAAAAAAGTCGGTCTTGAGCTCGTGCCGCACGCTTATATCGTTTATTCGACTAGTTAAACCGTGGCGTAAGCCTCAACAGAGCTAGCCTATCTCGACACGGAACGACGGTGTAATCAGCGCGTTGCAATATATATATATATATATTTGCAAGTATTATCAAACATTTTATTTTACTCGCTAGAAACTCATAAGGTACGAAATAGGTACGGGAGGTCCGCCAGCCCTTTTCATGTCATTCCGTACTGATCGCCCTGACGTTCGAGAAGGCCACCTCAGGCACTTCAACTACCGAAACTTAACTCCAAAAAAAATCTAGCGCTATTTAATAGTAAATATGGATAAGACCGGATTTAGTTTTGAAGCCGTAATCTAATAGAAGGAGGAAGGACATAATAGTATTTAGGCTTTGGCAGGACCTCATCCACAGGCCGCTCCAAGAATTTTGCCAAATATATATGTTCAAGTAATAGCTTACTAAGACTTTTAAGATTGTACGGTATATTCAACCTCGCGAAGAATGTGCTCCAGCTTTCAGGCAATATGACGCCTTCTTGCCTCAATGAACACTTCCCCCCATACGGCTGCTGGCGTTGCTGACATGTAGAATAATATTTATCTACATATATATTACTTTGGTTGATCTCATTCATAGCTAAATAGGCTATTTCCAGAAAATAAGCTTTCGAAAATAGATGAAGAACTCAAAAAAGTAACTCAAAGTCAAACGAACTAGTCGCTAAGTGTACGGCGTTTATATTTAGGGCTCATTTCAAGGGGACCCGTCTTAATTCTATCACCCATACATTATACACGAGCGTACCTGCAGCTGTGAAATGGAGTATTCCGTAAACGAGACGCGCTCATAATGACCTATCTCGACATCGTATCTGCTTGGAAGTCTAGTTGACTGTATAGTATAGCCAGAAAAATGTTTGTTATATAGTGTAGTTGTATGCATTTTCCTATCCCTAGCTAGCGTTTTACGGTGTAGAGATATAATCGAAGGCAAAATCAAATTACGAGAGATTTATCCTTCACAGTTCTTAGCCGCTATTAGATAGGTACCGTCCCTTCGAAGAGATATGTAATCACAGTGGCAAGATAGCTTGAAGAGAAATATATGCGTGCTCGAGAAGAATATAGAGTTTTTATTTTGACAAGGGAGTCATATATAGCGTTTAACGGTTCACTTATGATAACACTTCTGGTATATAAGTGGATATTGAGGGTGACTCAAGGGCACCGTTGGACTGCGTGGTTAACTAGCTTTATTAAAACTGTATGGAATAATATATTGTATATCCCCATTTGTTTGTAGAATTCAGCAGGATGAAAAGCTTTCCTATGCTCACCTGGTGCTTGGAAAACGTGGTAAATTCAGTTATTCAGGGATCTGGTATAGCTGGCCCTTTCCAACTGGATTTATATAAAAGAAAATATGTTCACTCTTAGAGAGTTAAGAATTACTGCATACTGCCATTTTAGACGTTTAGCTTCTCTGACAATATCATTCGACTCATTTAGATCTGGTGGCTTTCCTTTTAGCCGAACGAATATTCGACTGTACAGATACGCTTTGAAGAAGCATTGATGCCGTATTGTAAGGTGTACATGTCGACATGAGACTAAAAATCTGGCAACTGTTTTCCATCTGTTTCAATGTGTTGGTCTGATATATCAGGTTCGAATGTAAAAGTTCAGAATATTAAATACATCATATCTGTTCCGACAACATCGGTTTCAATGTGTATTTGTGTTGTGTTGTTTTGATTCCAGAACCGTGGAAGGACTTTGCCTCGACAAGTGTCGATTGTCACTAATATCACTGTCGTCAATTATCGAAGGCTACGAGGTAATCACGTGTTCGTGCGCTCGTGGCGACAAGGAGTGTGCGAGTATGCGGAACATAGAAAACTGTTGGCCAGAGCGGCTTGACTTCAACGAGAGCGAATTTGAACGGAAGCGCGTCGATTTCGTGCAGCAGCGGCTCGACTATAAGCATAGGCTGGGCGAATACCAACAAAAACATGTTCAGGCGGCGGCTACGCATCTGCAGTTCGTCGAAGAACCCCCCTATAATCCACAGGTGTCCTGTGTTGAGCGGCATCGTCTATGTAGGGAGAACGGCCTTTGTCAACAAGCGTACGTGCAGTATGGTCATGCGTGCCGATCAACCATTGAAAAGACGTCTGAGCCATGCTCAGCACAATGTGCGGCCAGTGCACGCGTTCTCTATTCGGTATCAGATGGTGGTTATTTCGCGTGTATCTGCGACGCGCAGACGAATGATCCTGAAGGCGAATATTGGTGCCGGCGGCAGAAGCGCCTCATCGCCGTCAAGTGCTTCGGCTTTAAGCGAGCTTTCACGTCTGGCGTCGCACTGCCTGTGGCGTTAAGTCCAATTCTCGCATCGATCGTCCCCGTAGGCTTTGTGGCATTGGTCACTATGGTAATCGTGCCATATCGGTAACAATCGCCTACAAGCCTTGTGCGGCCGCGTTTTCATGCGTCGTCGAACGTCGTGATCAATACTGCTATTGACCAGCAAGCAGTTGTTTACCTATTTTTAACAGCATCATCACAACGGCTACTGCTAATATTGACTCATGTCCTTCTTAACATCGCGCAGTTCGATAGCAGCATCTTTAAGCTCATTTCTGCCACCAAAATGACCGTGACGATAATAGTCATAATAACGACGATTCGGATATTGATGATAATGGAGCTGCTAAAAACAAAATCTGATTTCTTCAGCTGTGCGTGCTTCTTTCTGGTTTTCCGGACAATTTCCCTCGTAACAATTAGTGCTCTTAACTGAGATGAAGAGTGCACACGTATTTGTAGACAACTATTATTACTGTCGGCGCCCGCTGAGCGCGGTTTATCAAGCGGAAAGACGCGACGAAGCAAAGAAGCTCATCTATTTAATTTATACGGATCTTACAATACTGAGACAGATAACATGTTGCACCGAATGTATACAACTGAGTAATTAGTAACGCTTGCTACTGACGATGTACTTATCTAGCGAGAAAAACAGACGCCAACCGTAACAAACAACGACAAAGACGCAAAAAAAAATTGGATATCTGACCAACTGATTGAAACGTTAGCGCATCGAAAACTGACATCTCAGTTCAATCAGTAATTATTACTATTATATTAAGACGGATGGTAGAACGATTTACATTTTTGATCCTTGTAAGCATGATGATCACGCATGCATGCGTGTGTGTACTTTTTGCTTACAATGTGCATCATTTCTATATAAGGTCTAAAAAAGAAAGACCCTTTTCTATGAACGAAGAAAGCTGACATGACACAGAACCTAACTGACCTAAATGGAAAAGATTTATTTAGCGACAAATAAGGACGTTATGATCGTACGAAGTGGAAGTAAATTGTTAGGATAAAATTGGTCCGCACAAAGATGGCTAAGCTTCTAGACAATACTTTTATGACTACTATTACTGCTATTATTACTATCAACCCTAAACCAGATCCAATTTTGTCGACTTTTTTTAAACTGTATAATCATTTTTCATCGCTGTTACCAGTAAGACACTCTTGACGCGACAAATTAAAATAAGAGGACCTGAACCTAACCTTAATGCAAGTGTACTTGACAACTCACTGAGATGGACATCTCAGTGCCTAGATTGTACATAAATTATTAATATTGTGGTATTTCTAGACGGGTGAAATCTGTAACATAATGCAAATCGAATAACACCAGGTTATTTGTATTGAATATTTGAACTTTTTCTTAAATTTTACTGTACAGTGCCGTAGCCACAAGTATCATCCAACAATTGGAAATAAATAGCATTTTAAACTCACATAAAAAAGAAAAAAAAAAGAGCGAGATTGTCAGCAGCTGAATTTGCCGGTTGTCGATGCGTCCTGCCCCCCGCTTTTATCTAGCATCAGCCAGCAGATGCGCCACGGCGCGCATACGGAACGAACACAACTACAGACAGAAAATGTAGTGAAAATGCCTGTTATCAGATAGGAACGTAGATAATGAGTACCATTTTATCATAGAGTTACTAGGTTCTATTCGATACACAACCGTTGCAAAGACCCGCTCCCGGACTTGTTCTGTTGAAAAGAAAGAAAGTTTTTAAATCGGGTTACGTATGTTTACTGGGACACTTCTTGGCTGGCTGGGCTGTCGCTAGGATGCTGCTGAGGTAACTAACGGTCGTCGGAACGTCTGCAAAACTCCGAGCGCTGCCTTAACTAGGCGCAGTCGTTGGTGAAAAAAAATCACTTTTTCAATTCGACCTTGTGGCCAACCCAGAATGCTGAATGTACAAAGATTCTCAATCAGATTTATCAATCGAGCCTCGACTAAAACTCGAATAATGGCGTCTAATTTAAATAATTGGTTGTATCTTTAGAACTTGTAATTGTGTCTTAGGACCCTGTTACGGCCCGCGTTAGAAGGCTGATAAAACATCGTTTAGCTGTCGTGTGATTTGCAAAGAGGAAATTCAAAACTGGGTTACGCGCTTTGGTTCCGTCCAATAGTGACTTTAGTCGAATAGCGCAGAGCAACATTTCTAAAGAAGGCAAGTGCAAAACTAATCTTTGGAGTAGCGAGAACTCTACATCAAAGAAACACTGTTGTGCATCGATAATGAGCTGAGCCGTATAAACCAGATGCAGACCTCGACGATCGAAGCTCAAAATGTGTTGCTATGAGCAACCGGGGAGTCAGATCGAGTTAACTCATTTAGACATGGACACGCGTTGCCTAAAGCAGAGGATATAGATCTCGATAGTTACGGGTACTCGAGTGCGAAATATACATCAGCAGTGACTGAGGAAAGTTGATTGTGTTCAATTGTTCATAGAAACTTTAAGAGACTGCAGATATTATCCTTCTTTTCCTCCTTTTTTAACCCTCAAAAATTCCAACAGTGAACGTATGGCCATCAAATATCCTCCGGTATCTCTCACAATATTTTGGGCAATACCTCTGACATGTCTTTCTTTGTTACTGGGAATTTTACGGGATGTAAGCTTCTAATGTAAGCCGGCATATTTGATGATACTATACCGAAGTCAGGGAACGTAAAGGCTAACAACTCAGACCTTGCCCAGTCACGCTGAGTCCACTGTACTCAGAACCTGTCGGAGCTTGTATCGCAATACTGTAAAAAAAAAACATCGTATCGACCTGAAGATTATATTCTGTAGAGAAAGGCTAGTCATTTTTTTTTTATCTAGTACGCTCAAACCTATATATTGTATTGTGTACACAAATTGTGCACTTCAAACGTCATTGTTTACTTCGCAAGCGATATACTAGCCAGTATTCTCGACGATCAGGCTCCGTTTTGTGTGCATTTTAAACCGGCTATAAGATAAGAACGCGTTCCATTCCTTACGAATTGGGCAGTGTACGCCGGATTTGTAGCTTCTCTGTAGCAGTCTTTTGATATATGCTAACATTTATATATATACACATCTAACTCCTTAGTATCTGTCAAGCTGTTTCTCAGTAGCCGAGTGAGCTTTCCTAGATCTTTTTTTATCAGACAATATACTGTTTTCAACCCGAATTTATAACGTAATGTAATGAGCAACAATTAGATATAGTTTTTCGAACTTGTTAATAATAGAGCTAATAGAGAAGCCGTTATAATAAATCGATTATAGTGGACTCCACTGTACGCCGGATTCATCACTTCATTGTACAATTAGGGTGCCTGACGTCATTCATCTGACCGACCAAGATTCCGTCAATAGAGCCATAAAAGGCCCTCCAAAGCATCTTTTACAATTGGTACAATGATCAAAAACAATGAAGATAAAAAGATCGAAACATTTTACCGTCAGCAATGTAATAGCTTTTTTGGCTCCTTTCGATTCATCTGTGGATCATTAGTTTTTTTTTTGAGTACGGATACAATGTTGTGCACCAAAGTACGTGCGCTCCGATTATAAATAACGTTGTGAAGTTTGTGTATTTGTTGCTAGCGGATATTAGGGCTGATGCGTTGTTTTTAAACATCCGCATATAGTGAAACACACAATGCATTCGGAAAAACTCTGATTGTTTTTACTTTGTAAATTGTGAAAATGGAAGCTTCAACAGGATTTTAGATGATAGGCTTTCGTTTCGTTATCGTCGTCATTTAGATATAAGAAGCAGTAACTTAGCCTGTAAATGAATCGAAATGTAGAATCAGAAGGAGGACCTTTACGTGAAAAGGTTCTCGTGTTACGCTATGTATCCTCTATACATTTGAAAAAGGAAACCACTATAAACTACAGGAATTTTCTAGCTGTTTTATTTAACAGTCATCGAACACCCCAACCAGTGGACAATCCGACAATAAAAGTTATCCCAAAGAGTGTTACAAGAGTAATTCTGACGAATTTAATAAAAACTAAAGCATTATGATAGTTTGGGTGAAGACGACGATCTGATGGCAACTATGCACAGTCGTCTGAATCCACTGCAAAAAACATCTATACCACTTTAGACCAAATAGTACATTCGGCAAATACTCTGGAATATTTTGGGTTTATAACACAGGAGAGATATGCACTGTCCCTGGTTTTGTAGAATCAACGGATAACGGACGGAACTACAACAATGGTCGAGAAATACGCTCAATACTGCACGCTTGTCCATGAGAGTTTCCATTCCGCAAGCGAGCGATGACTTCACTTCACGAATCTATGAACGATGTAACACTGATTCATTAAATACGAAATGATGAGGCACGCATCATCTGGAGCTCGTGTGTTCCAAATGCGATAAAAAATCTACCTGTTAAATTGTAGGAAACATTTCAATATTAGTCTCATTAGGCAGGGTAGCACCAAGCGCAACATTGATTCTATTTAGTTAAAATCTATTTATTTAGCGTAACAAAATAGAAAATAAAGCATACATATCCCTCGACTCTGTTCAAAGATATGATGATAAAGCGAATTTTGAAAGATGGAACTATTATGCAATACGAAATTCTGGAAACGTACACACACGATGGCCCTCTCAGAACCCGCTTCGTTTAGAATCCGATTGAAAATCTCAGCAGCATTAAAAAAAATGCTAATTCTCCTATGTAATAATAGTGAATAATATAATGTTGTCCATTTCTTCTTGATACATCGATGAAATTGTTTTGTGCAAACGGTACGTGGTTCCTAAAAGGTTTCCTAGCGGCTAAAATGAATATATGCTCCCACTGTATTGACCGTTCCGTTTTTAGAGTCAGGACCTTTTCTCCCCTACAATTCCCGCAAGGCGTCGCCCCTAGGGATATATATAACAGCTGAATTAAGACAGTCTTCAAGTTGTCAGCGTGTTTCAATGATAGTTTTGATGCCGATTGGCGGTCACGGCGACGTGAGCTGATATTAACAACTTGAAGGAACCACTGAGTCTCATATGAGAAGCCTATGATTGCATGATTGTATGGTGAGTCCGTCGCCATATCTACTTGGTAGCTGTGTTAAAGATATCTTTTTCCTTAAACGTTGCTACCAATCTCTCGTCATCTATTTTGGCGGAGGCAGTACAGACGTTGGGAACGATTCTAGAGAATTAAGCATTCATCTGATGCTCATCTAGAAATTATTACTTTGAGACATTAACTAGAATTTTTGAACTAGGCTAGACATCTACTGCACGTAGAACTTCACGCGTTTAAAAATATACTTCTTAACTCATTTTCAAGTGATAGAATCTGTATTTAAACAAAACGGCTACGGCTGTATAATAAGCAGCATAAAAGCCGAGAAATCTCCCTACCGGC